GGGCCTAGAGGTATGAGCACGTTGCAGTTACCATGTGTATAAATACTACATCTTATGGGAAAAACTCCTTCAAATTTCTTGCGCCCAAATTATGGAATTTGTTTTTTTAGAAACAACTTCCTAGACTTTACAAGCATACATACATCTGTTCTCTTTTTCTTTTTCTTCATTAATTGTACATATATTTTTCACTCTATTTATTTCTCAGAGAAGTGCTTGTACACTATTCTTCAATCCAAGTTGAAAAAAAGTTTTACTACTACTACTACTACTACTACTACTACTACTACTACTACTACTTCTACTTCTACTTCTACTTCTACTTCTACTTCTACTTCTACTTCTACTTCTACTTCTACTACTACTACTACTACTACAACAACAACAACAAATGAAAATCTCTCATATGGTCTCTTTGGTTGGCATTAGGGGAGTTTCAAGCCCTAAGTTTACTTATTTTGTTTATTACAATTTAATGGCATAAATACACAAATGCTGGTATGATACAGTTAATTAACCAAAAAAAATTTAAAAAAAACCATAGGAGAATCTGCAAAAGAGTCCCAGACCCCATGTATCAGCAGATCACCCAATACATACAGTACGAATGAGATACTGTTATAATAAAGACAAATAAAATCATGATTTACCCACAAGGAGTTTCTTCACATTAAATTTAAAATTCCCAGTACAATTTGCAGTGCGAATGTCAGCAGGCAACATATTCCAAGAGACTACTATTCGATGGAAATAGGAATATTGAAGGGAATTAGCCCTTGCATATTCTTTTTAACGTCAGATGATCATGATGTTTCAAGGAACAATAATCTAAATTAGAGTAATAATCCACAAAAGGTGAAACATCAATGTCAACAAACCCTTTCAGTGCCTTAAAAAAGAAAGTTGTGTCAATTAAAACTCTTCTCTGTCTTCCAAAGATAATAGCCTGCACTCCTTCAAGCTTCTCAGTGTTCTCACGCGAATATGGGGGGGACCATATCTCAGAGCAGTATTCAAGGTTAGACCTTACTAAGGAACAGGAAAGGGTTCCTTTGCACTCTGGGGTAAAAGTAAATGGGTCCACTTCTACTCTGTATCTTTAAAAATTAGTTTTTTTCTTCAATTATTTTCAATTATTTTAGTCAAACTCGGTTTAATTTTTTCTAATTAATTAAAAAAAAGGAGAAAAAAAGTTACCCTCGACCCTCAACAAGAAACCCTTGACCCACCTACCCTCCACAAATAGATAGACTCCCGCGATAATTACTCTAGGGTGCTCGCCCAAGTGATTCATTAACTTTTAGCTGATCCGTTTTTCTAAATAACTCGGACGCTTCTGCAGATTAAGTAGCTATTTTAAAGATCTATTTCCTTCGGCAGAGGGCAAATTATAGATACCACATTAATGATTCATGTAAGAGTGTATGAAATAAAGTAACTTCATGTAATTTAAGTTGAACTATAGCTCCTGATGTGTGGACAACTCGAAACGACGAAACGACATAACGAAACGACGAAACGACATAACGAAACGACATAACGAAACGACGAAACGCCATGACGAAATGACGAAACGACGAACCGATGTGGTCGATGACGAGTCGGACTCGTAAAACGACGAGTCGAAGAGGCCAGCCGACGAGTCGAACTGACAATACGACGAAACGAACTGAAAGTTCGACGAGTCGAACTCGGAAAACAACGACTCGACATAACGAAACGACGAAACACCATAACGAAACCACGAATCGAACATTTTGTCCAGGATTTACCTTCATACTTTTCGAAAACAAGTATCTTTACTTTACCTATCCTGATCTACTAAAGGTTTGTCAGGAGACTGATATCAAGATAACGACGGAACAGATCACTCAAGTTGAAAGGGATACCATTACTCAAGCAAAGGGGAGCAATTTTCTCAAACATAGGGCTGGAAGAATTGGTGCTTCCCAGTGCAAGGCTGCATGTAACTCTGACCCTGCCTTACCCTCTCAAACCTTAATTCATTCTTTTTGCTACCCAGAGTTAAATAAAATAAACACTAAAGCTGTCCTCCATGGGTGTAAACATGAACAGCTGGCCATCAGAGCCTACGGGGAAAAAATGAAGGAGTTACACACTAACTTTAAAATAATTAGATGTGGGCTTTTCATTAATGAGGAGTATCCGTGGCTGCATTATCCGTGGCTGCATGCCACACCTGACTTTTTACGCAGTTATGATTGTTGTGGGGAAGGCTGTGGTGAGGTCAAGTGCCCTTTCTGTATTGAAAACTGTGACTTCGATAATTAAGTGAAGAAGAGCTCTTCGTGTCTGGAAAAAGATAGTTCTGAAAATTCAATCTAAAAACCCAACAAAGTACTACTACCACACACAACAGCAGATTTTTACATCAAAGAAACAGTACTGTGATTTTGTTGTTTGTGCTTTTACTGATATTAAGGAGGCAAAGCTAGTTGTGAAGAGAATTGGTCCAGACATTGAGCACTGGAAGGCTGTCTTACCAAAAGTGACTAACTTTTGGAGAACATATGTGTTACCAGAAGTGCACGGTAGGTGGTATACTCGGAAGCACAATACCCCCGAAGTTGACCATCCACCAATTAATGATGTATGCTTTTGCAGAACTGCAACAGATGAAGACACTGTGATCTGCTGCAACCCAGAATGTCCCATTGGAAGTTTTCATCTTTCCTGCTTACAAATTGTCAGTGTGCCTAAGACATGGTATTGTTCGAACAGTGGAACTTTGCCAAAATTCAGGCAAAAAGGAAAATCTGCTCAATCTGCTAGGAAATCAAGTACACCTTCCCTTCCTTGGCCATGGATGTCATTTCCATATTTGAAAGCAAGCCTAATGAAAGTGACAAGCTTGTGGAATGTCACAGTTCTGATTGCAAGTATGGCAAATATTTTCATTTCTCATGTATTGGCTTAAGACGAATGCCAAATAACAGTAAAACAACCTAGATCTGTGGCAGTTGTAAAGGCATAAAACAACAGCATACTGGTTCAAGTAGATTGAGTTCTGCACATGACATCACATTTGTAAAGGTGGCAAAAAACACTAACATTGCAGTTGAAAAACATGAATGCATTGCTGATCTAACTCAAGCAGAATGGGATATCATTACTTCA